GGAGCACTGAGGGGGCAAAGAAGGGAGGCTGGGGGGGCTCTGTGGGGTTTGGGGCTCTGGCATTTGGAGCTTGGGGGGGGGGGTCTGTGGGTTTCGGGGGGTTCTGGGGGTCCCACACCTCCCCTTGCCCCCACCAGCTCCTCATCACATAGAAGCCCCTCAGGAGAAACCCCCAGGATGGCCGGGAAGGACGAAAAAGATGGGAAAGATGGGAAGGATGGAAGCACGGATGGCTGGGCAGGCATCGAGGAGCGCCTGGAGAAGATCCGGGTGAGCCCGGGAGGGGCTGGGATCGGATCCGGCTTTTCTTCAGGAAAACCTCGGGATCTGGGGCTCTGGTCCCTCCTTTCTTCAGGAAAACCTCGGGATCTGGGGCTCTGATCCTGAGGTTTTCCTGAGGAAAAGACGGATCAGAGCCCCAGCTCCCGAGGTTTTCCTGAGGAAAAGACGGATCAGAGCCCCAGCTCCCGAGGTTTTCCTGAGGAAAAGACGGATCAGAGCCCCAGCTCCCGAGGTTTTCCTGAGGAAAAGACGGATCAGAGCCCCAGCTCCCGAGGTTTTCCTGAGGAAAAGACGGATCAGAGCCCCAGCTCCCGAGGTTTTCCTGAGGAAAAGACGGATCAGAGCCCCAGCTCCCGAGGTTTTCCTGAGGAAAAGACGGATCAGAGCCCCAGCTCCCGAGGTTTTCCTGAGGAAAACCTCGGGATCTGGTGGGGAGATCTGTGGGGAATTCTGGGCTGGGGTCTGACTCCTTTTCCCAAGAAAACCTCTGGATCCCACTGGAGGGTTCTGAGCTGGTTCTGACTCCTTCTTTTCCCAGGAAATGCCCCTGAGAGCCTCTGCTCTGACCCCAAACCCCTCTTTTCCCAGGGAATGCATGTCAGGGGTCTCTGTCCTGACCCCAAACCCCCTTTCCCGCAGGAAACAACCCCTGCTCTGACCCCAAACCCCTCTTTTCCTAGGAAACAGCCCCTGAGGGGCTCTGTCCTGACCCCAAATCCCTCTTTTCCCAGGAAGTGACCCCTGAAGGGCTCTGTCCTGACCCCAAATCCCCCTTTCCCCCAGGAAAAAACCCCTGCTCTGACCTCAAACCCCTCTTTTCCCAGGAAACCACTCTCTCAGAGCTCTGCTCTGACCCCAAACCCCTCTTTTCCCAGGAAATGACCCCTGAAGGTCTCTGTCCTGACCCCAAACCCCTCTTTCCTCCAGGAAAAAACTCCTGCTCTGACCCCAAACCCCTCATTTCCCAGGAAACAGCCCCTGAGGGGCTCTGTCCTGACCCCAAACCCCTCTTTCCCCCAGGAAACCTCTCTCGAAGGGCTCTGCTCTGACCCCAAATCCCTCTTTTCCTAGGAAACAGCCCCTGAGGGGCTCTGTCCTGACCCCAAACCCCTCTTTCCCCCTGGAAGCAACCCCTGAAGGGCTCTGTCCTGACCCCAACCCCCTCTTTCCCCCTGGAAGCAACCCCTGAAGGGCTCTGTCCTGACCCCAACCCCCTCTTTCCCCCTGGAAGCAACCCCTGAAGGGCTCTGTCCTGACCCCAACCCCCTCTTTCCCCCTGGAAGCAACCCCTGAAGGGCTCTGTCCTGACCCCAACCCCCTCTTTCCCCCTGGAAGCAACCCCTGAAGGGCTCTGTTCTGACCCCAAACCCCTCTTTCCCCCAGGAAACCTCTCTCGAAGGGCTCTGCTCTGACCCCAAATCCCTCTTTTCCTAGGAAACAGCCCCTGAGGGGCTCTGTCCTGACCCCAAACCCCTCTTTCCCCCTGGAAGCAACCCCTGAAGGGCTCTGTCCTGACCCCAACCCCCTCTTTCCCCCAGGAAAGCCTCCGGACCCCCTCATCCCCGGCCTCCCGCCGCGCCCACGCCTGCGACCGCGCCCTGCGCGCCTGCGTGGCCGAGCTGGCCCGGCCCGGCGGGCTGCTAGCCCACGGCACCCAGCTGCTAGCCCTAGCCCAGGAGGCCACCCAGCTCTACCTGAGCGTGGTCCCCGAGCCCCCTCACCTGTACCTGGAGAAGATCCTGTTCCACGTGCTCCGCAACGCCGCGGCGTGGGTGGGCCCCCACGCCTGGAGCGTGGCCGAGCTGCTGCGGGCGCGGCTGCGGCGCGGCCGCCGCGGCGGCGGCGACTGGGCCGCCGTCGCCTCCGGCGCTTTTGCCGTCCTTTGGAGAGCTGCGGCGGCTCTAGCCGGGCCAGAGCGGCCGCGGGAGGAGGGCAGGGCGGTGCTGACGGCCCGGATCCGCGCCCTGCGCTTCCTGCTGCTGCTGGAATCGCAGGATGGCGAATCCTCACCTCGGGAATCCTTCCAGCCGCCTTTCTTCACCTCGCGGACCGCCCAGAACGCCGCGGCCGCCGCCGCTCTCTACGAGGCTCACAGGGCTCCGTGCCCGCTCTTCCTGGCCAGGCAGCTCCAGCAATTCCTGCTGGACGCTCTAAAGGATGAGGCTCCTCAGCCTCCGGGCCTCCGGGATTCCCTGTGCTTCCTGGAGCTCACCCTGGAGCGCTGCCGCCACCTCTGCAAAGCGCGGCGGCCCCGCGACGCTCTGGACGCCCTGGAAGAGTCCAGAACGTTTTTGGGAGCTGGGAATTCTCTGGGAGCCCCTCTGGAGCTGCTGGAAGCCGGGATCCAGCTCAGCAGGGCTTTGCTGACCAAAGGCGTGAGAGCCGTGGCGCCGGCGTTGAGCCGGGCGGGAGCGGCGCTGGCGGCGGAATGTTCCGGAAGGATCCTGCGGGTGCTGCTGGAAAGCTCCCAGTTCGTGCTGGCGCAGCTCGGGGAGGTGCTCAGGAGGAGCCAGGAGCTGCCCCTCGGCCTCCAGGAGCTCCCTGGGATTTGTGGATTCTGCCAGGGCCACGGGCGGGCGCTGCGGCGGCTGCTGGCCCAGGTGAGGAGGAGGAGGAGGAGGAGCTCTGGGGTCCCTCAGGGTCACTCCATGCTGCTCCCAGCCCTGCCAGCAGCTCCTGGAGTGTGGAGAATCCCAAATCCCACTTTTCTCCATGCTAGCAGCAGCTCCTGGAGCTCCTGAACCCCTACATCCCCTTTTTCCCCAAATCTCACTTCTCCTTTTTCCCTGCCCTTCCTGGGTCCATCCTCATCTTCAGCACAAGCTCCTAGAGCTCCTGGACCCCCACATCCCACCTATCCCATTCCCAGGTCCCCCCAGCATTCCCAAATCCCATTTTCCCCATTCCCAAATCCCATTTTCCCATTCCCAGGTCCCTCCTGACTCCAATCCCACTTTTCTCCATGCTAGCAGCAGCTCCTGGAGCTCCTGAACCCCTACATCCCCTTTTTCCCCAAATCTCACTTCTCCTTTTTCCCTGCCCTTCCTGGGTCCATCCTCATCTTCAGCACAAGCTCCTAGAGCTCCTGGACCCCCACATCCCACCTATCCCATTCCCAGGTCCCCCCAGCATTCCCAAATCCCATTTCCCCATTCCCAAATCCCATTTCTCCATTCCCAGGTCCCTCCTGACTCCGTCCAGGAGCAAGTGATGGTGAAGCAGCTGCTGTTCCACAGCCTCCAGCTCTTCTCCAACGCCATCCACGAAATATTCCAGCGCTCCCAGGCATGGATCCGGATCCCTGGGGGGCTGGGAGCCTCTCCCGTGGGATTTGGGGCTGGAATTTTGGGGTAGAGCCTCTCCCGTGGGGTGTGGGGCTGGAATTTTGGGATTGAGCCACTGTGGGAGCCTTTCCTATGGGATGTGGGGCTGGAATTTGGGGGTTGAGTGCCCTGAGGGGGTTCTGGAAGTTTCTCCCATGGGATGTGGGGTGGAAATTTAGGGATTGAGTCACCCTGAAAAGGTTCTGGGGTTGCTGGAAGCTTCTCCCATGGGATGTGGGGCTGGAATTTTGGGGTTGAGGTGCCCTGAGGGGCTTCTGGAAGCTTCTCCCATGGGATGTGGGGCTGGAATTTGGGGGTTGAGGTGCCCTGAGGGGGTTCTGGAAGCTTCTCCCATGGGATGTGGGGCTGGAATTTGGGGGTTGAGGTGCCCTGAGGGGGCTTCTGGAAGCTTCTCCCATGGGATGTGGGGCTGGAATTTGGGGCTGAGGGGTCCTGCAGTGTCCCCTGTGGCTCTGGGGTCCCGGCTGACCCACGGTGTCCCCACAGCCCTCGGGGTGGCCGGAGCTGGCGCAGGTGACCACGAGCTGTGTCCAGAGTGTCACCTGGATGCTGGAGGGGCTGGAGGGGCTGCCCGAGGCCGAGAGGGGCAAGTTCCTCGATGTCACCGGTCAGTGCCACCTCCTGTCCCCGTCCCCTGTGTCCCCAGTGGTCAGTGCCACCTCCTGTCCCCGTCCCCTGTGTCCCCAGTGGTCAGTGCCACCTCCTGTCCCCGTCCCCTGTGTCCCCAGTGGTCACTGCCACCTCCTGTCCCCATCCCCAGGGTCACTGCCACCTCCTGTCCCCGTCCCCTGTGTCCCCAGTGGCCAGTGCCACCTCCTGTCCCCGTCCCCAGTGGTCACTGCCACCTCCTATCCCCATCCCCTGTGTCCCCAGTGGTCACTGCCACCTCCTATCCCTATCCCCTGTGTCCCCAGTGGTCAGTGCCACCCCAGGGCTCCATGTCCCCATCCTGGGTGTCCAGGGGGTCACTCCATGTCCGGGGGGGTTGGGATCAGCTCTGGACCAGGAGGGGTCACCGCAGTGTCCCCTCCCTGTCCCGTTGGTCACTCTGTCCCCTCTGCACGCAGCTGCCACCGCCTTCCGCCTGGGCCAGGCCTTGCAGAGCCGGAACGTTCCGGAAGCGGCCGGAGCCGTGTGCGAGCCCCTGTGCCGGGCAGTGCTGGCCGGCCACGGCTACGGCTGGCCTGGAGTCACCCCAGAGAGGGTACTGGGGGCACTGGGAGCACTGGGATGGGCTGATGGGGGGTACTGGGATGGGGGGCACTGGGAATACTGGGCTGGGGTTCTGGAGATACAGA